AGTTGGTAGTTGAGAACCAGCAGATACTCCCCAATACTGACTGAAGAGATGAAAATTAGGTATGAGGCTAGAAGACAGAAGATGAAGCTGAGCACAATTTCTGATACACTGAATGATATAGTCCAGAACCTTCTTAACAGGTACCTGTCACCTCCCTAGTGGGGCAGGCAGAAGGGTTTGTGAGTGGAGATCCTGTTCAGGTTGTCTGAAATTAGGCTCTAGTTACCTAGAGGGATGGGTTCCCCTTTAGGGCCCAGCATTTAAATTGTCCATACTCAGAAAACAAATACAATTAATCCTCACAAATATAGATTTGCAGACAGATTTCTCACTTAGGAAGACTGACCATTTTCACATTTCATTGCACTATTACAAAAATTAGTTTCATTCTTTCTTGGATTCATCTTTGATACTTCCCACCCCCTCCTCCTTTCATGGCCCAAGAAGTGATGCCTAATCGATGTCCTAGAAATCCCTCCTCTCCACTTCCCTTGACTCTGCCTCATTTCAGCTTCCCTCATCTCTCACCCATGCTGTGTCCCCCTAACACCTCACTACATGCGATGGCAGCCTCCTACAATATCTTCCATGATGCAGTCAAAGGAATCTTTGTAAAATACAAATATGATTATGTTTCTCATCAGCTTAAAATATTTTAGTGATTTCCCATTGTCCACAGGGAATGAAGAAACTCCCCCTAGAGTTGACATGGCCCTTCATGATCTGCTCCTGTAGACACAACAGAGGCTTTTCTGTGGTGCCTCATTCCAATTGTCTGTGCCACTGAAGGCCTGAAATGGTCACAGTTATCCAACATCATGGTGCCATCTCAGCCCTCTCTGCACTTGCATGCACTATTTTTCCAACCTGGGACACTTGTGTTTATAATGAAACTCTCAGTTACCAAATTATGTCCTTAATAAACAACTTTGAAACAACTAGGCAGTGGGAATAAGATAAAAGTATTTATCGTATTTTAACTTGTTGAGCTGGTCAAGGAGAAAAAGCAGTGGATGAATGAAGTTGGGCCCAAAGTCTGGAGCTAGATCTGAACAACAAGGAGTAATTGGTACACAACTGGGAAGTGATATTGGCATTTTCCAATTGTAAGAGCAGGAAAGTTTGGGCACAGTTCAAATGTGAGTCTTTAGCTACTACAGAGAGGGCTTTTCAGAATCATGGAGAAAAGATGTGGGTGAATCCTGCATCAAGACTACTGAGGAGATGTTCTTGGGAACAGTTACTTTTAGGATTCCACACTGAAATCACCTAGAGAGCTTTATAAATTATTGCTGCCCAATTCCATTTCCTAAGATTTAACTGGGGATTTTTTGAAGTAGAATTACCAAACTGGAAAGTTCTGGGAAAGCTTTCTTCAGTGAGATTCATCCCGGGTATGCAAAGATGGTTGAATGTGCATGAATCAATACATGCAATACGGCTCATTAACAGCGCCAAAAACAAAAACTATATGATTATTTCAATAGATGCTAAAAAAGTACTTCATATAATTCTACATCCCTTTATGATAGAAGCCCTCAACAAACTGGGTATAGAACAAATATACCTCAAAATAATAAAGGCTATAGATGACAAATCCACAGTTAATATCATACTGAATGGGGAAAAATTGAAAACATTTCAATAAGATCTGCAACAAGACAAGGATGCCTAATTTCACCCACTTTATTTAATACCTTACTGGAAGTCCTGGCCAAAGCAATTAGGCAAGAGAAAGAAGTATAAAGCCAGCCAAACTGAAAAGGAAAAACTCAAATTAGCTTTGTTTGCACGTGACATAATCTTAGAAAAACCTAAAGACTCCGCCAAATATCTGTTAAAACTGATCAATGAAGCAGTGAAGCTGGAGGATACAAAATTGGCTTACAAAAATCAGTAAGATTTTTATACAACAACAGTGAAAAATCAGAAAAAGAAACCAAGAATGAAATACCACTTACAATAGCTACAGAAAATATAAAATATGAAACACCTGATAATCAATTTAACCAAAGATGTAAAAGATTTCTACAAGATAAACTATAAAACATTCATGAAAAAAATTGAAGACGACTCAGAAAAACTAGAAAGATATTCATACTCTTCAACATCATGGATTGGAAGAATTAATGTTGTTAAAATTACCACCCAAAAGCAATTTACTGATTCAGTGCAATCCCTATCAAAATACCAATGTTATTCTTCATAGAAATAGAAAAAACAATCCCACAATTTGTGGGGAACCACAGAAGACCCCAAATAGCCAAAGCAATCCTGAGCAAAGAAAACAAAGCTGGAGGCATCAAACTACCTGATTTCAAAATAGACTACAAAGCTATACTAAGCAAATCAGTATAGTCCAGCATAAAAACACATAGACCAATTGAGCACAGTAGAGAACCCAGATATAAATACACACATTTGCAGCAAACTCATTTTTGACAAAGATGCCAGGAACATAAAATGGGGAAAATACAGTCTTCAATGAATGGTGCTCTGAAAACTGGATAACCATTGTCAGAAGAATGAAACTAGACTCCTATCTCTCAATATATATAACAAACAAATCAAAATGAATGAAAGACTTTAATCTATGACCTGACACTATGAAACTACTAGAAGAAAACACTGAGGAAATGCTCCAGACATTGGTCTAGGCAAAGTATTTTTTTTATTTTTTTTTTTTATGTGCAAGGGCTCAAAAGCACAGAAAACCAAAACAAAAATAGACAATTGGGATTACAACAAGCTAAAAAGCTTCTGCATAGCAAAATAAACAATCGACAAAAGGAATAGATAACGCACAGAGTGGGAGAACATTTTTCCAAACTATCCATCTGACAAGGGATTAATAAGCAGAATATATAAGGATCTCAAACAATTTAACAGCAAAAAAAAAAAAAAAAAATTGATTTAAAAAATGGGCAAAAGATCTGAACAGATTTCTCAAAAGAAGACATACAAATAGCCAATGGGTATATGAAAAAGTGTTCAACATCACTAATCATCAGAGAAATGCAGATTAAAACCACAATGAGCTATCATCTCATTCCAGTTAAAATGACTTGTATGAAAATGACCAGGGGCAGGCGTGGTGGCCCACACCTGTAATCCAGCACTTTGGGAGGCCGAGGTGGGTGGATCACCTGAGGTCAGGAGTTAAATACCAGCCTGACCAACATGGTGAAACCCTGTCTCTAATAGACATACAAAATTAGCCAGGCGTGGTGGCACATGCCTGTAATCCCAGCTACTTGGGAGGCTGAGGCAGGAGAATCACTTGAACCTGGGAGGTGGAGGTTGCAGTGAACTGAGATCACACCACTGCACTCCAACCCGGGTGACAGAGTGAGACAAAAAAAAAGAAAGAAAAAAAGAAGAAGAAGAAGAAAGAAAACAAACAAAAAGGAATAATAAAATAATGAAATGCTGGGGAGTGAGAATGTAGAGAAATGGAAACCCTCTTAGTGGGAATGTCTATTAGTACAGCCACTACAGAAAACTCTATGGAGGTTTTGCAAAATCCTAAAAATAGAATTGTCATCTTACCATCAATTCCACTGCTGGGTATAGATCTAAAAGAAAGAATATCACTGTATTGAGGGATATCTGCACTCCCATGCTTCCATGTTTATTGCAGCGCTATTCACAATAGAGAAAATATGGAACCAACCTAAGCGCCCATCAATGGATGAATGGATAAAGAAAATGTGATATATACACACAATGGAATATTATTCAGCATAGAAAAGAATGAAATAAGTTCTATCATTTGCAACAACATAGATGGAACTAGAGGTCATAAGGTTAAGTGTTAATAACCCAAGTACGGAAAGACAAATACTGCATGTTCTCGCTTATAGGTGGGAGCTGAAAAAGTGGATCTCATGAAGATAGGGAGTAGACTGAAGCTTTCCAGAGGTGAGGAAGGGTAGAGGGAACGGAGTGTTGAAGAGAGATTGATTAATGGGTACAAATATACAATTTCATAGAAGCTAAGACCTAGTGTCTAACAGATCAGTAGAGTGAAAATAGTATACAATTTCAAAATATTGTATTTTGTATATTTATTATAATTACATATACACATATATTACATATGTGTATTTATAATATATCTATTTTATATTTCAAAATAACTAGAAGAGAGTAATTTGAATGTTTCTGCATAAAGACAAATATTTAAGATGTTGGAAGCCCCAATAACACTGATTTCATATTTACAAATTATATGAATGTATTAAATTATGCACCCTAAAACGATGTCAGCTATTATCTGTTAATAAAAATAAAAAATAAATAAATAATAAAAATCTTGCTAGCCCTCTCCCCACCCCCAGTCACCTGAAACCTTTCTGTTCCCCATGACTGCTCCAAAATGGGAAATGAGGTTTCACAGTAATTTCTATAATTTGTCAAATCCCCAAAGTCTAATTCTTATCTAATGCCCCAAAGTCAATGCCCCAAAGTCTAATTCTTATCTAATTCTTATCACAAGACCCCTACATAGATGGTTCATTTTAAATTTCTGTAAGGCAGTGTGCACCTTACATCTATCTATGTACCAGGAATTGGCATTCTTCTGGTCCCTGAAGTTATGATTCACAGTTCACTACAAAGACACTTTAACTCGGGGTGGGGTGCGGGGTGGATTATCACTTCTTGATTGAAAGCTCCCGGAGAGTAGGGGCTTTTTTCTGCACAGCGAGCGGCCGCTTCCTGCACACCAGGAAATCCCCTCCGCCTGCGGGACCCGCCCCGCCCTCCTGCCCACGCGCCCTCTGGGTGGTGCCTGCTCGGTCCCGACTGCGCCCGCCTCCCCACTCACTAGGATCTGATACTCCGCGCCGCCCAGACGCCTCTATTCCCGTCACTACCACCGGCCTCCCCTCGCTCCTGGGCAACGGTGCCCACAACGGCGGTACGTGTCTAGCTTTGGGAGCGGCTCCCACAAGCAGGCATCGGGTTATCCGCTCCCGCGCCCAGGAAACGGTAGGAGCCCGGGAAAGCGGAACCTGGGAAAGTTCCCTGAGCTCCGTCCCGGGGCCCCCCTCTTTCACCTGGTCTGGGGTCGGGGCCTCCCCGAGGGCAGGGGCGTGGCTGCGCCTGGCTGCGACCCCTGTGGATCCTGGTGTGGTCAGGGCGGGTGTCGGGGGAGATCGCGTGGAGCTGGGGGATGAGCCTCCAGGCTCAGCTCAGCTCACCACGCAGGAGCTGGGAAGCGGGGGTGCGGAGAATGACGCCCCGCGATCCTCTCTGGTGAAGTACTCTTTGGGGTGGGAGGGGGCTGTGATGCCTCAGAACACTAGGACCCTAGGACCGCGGGACCCTGGGAGCGCGCACCTTCAGGGTCCAGGAGATGGGCCACCTGTGGGATGGGGGCGTCGCAGAATGTTGGTGCCATAGCTCAGGGCGCCTTGGCCATAGGTGATGCCGCAGAGAGCAGTGCATTGGGAATTTCTGAGGGTACCGAAGACCCTCGAGAGAGAACTAGGGGTGGATCCCAACGGCAGCCTGGACCCTGCGCCTACCCCAGCGCCTTTTCCAAGAATGAGCGCACGGGTTTCACAGCCCTCTGGCTCCCAGAGTTTGGCCAACACCACAGCACTTTTGAGAGTGTGCAGGCCTGCAAAGATCATCGTGAGGGACATTCCAGATCTTGTTTTTATTAAATTCACTGACGGGATAAAATATTTCAAAATTCATTGTCCTTAAGGTAAGATGGTGGGGGCCTTTTAATCATATTTTAATTTTGTTGTATCAGATCATATTGTCACTTAAGTTACTTCCTTTTCTCCTCCCACTACCCTTTAAAACCAAGTTTGGTGAGAATCAAGGACAAAAAACTAAATACCACATGTTCTCACTCATAGGTGGGAATTGAACAATGAGAACACTTGGACACAGGAAGGGGAACATCACACACCGGGGCCTGTTGTGGGGTGGGAGGAGGGGGGAGGGGGAGGGATAGCGGTAGGAGATATATCTAATGTAAATGACGAGTTAATGGGTGCAGCACACCAACATGGCATATGTATACATAGGTAACAAACCTGCACGTTGTGCACATGTACCCTAGAACCTAAAGTATAATAATAAAAAAAAACTAAGTTGGAAAACAGAACTTATAGAAAATTAATATTCAGATGCTGTCAGGCGTACTTAGATGCTAGGGGGAAACTGGGTCAGGTGAGGGTCCTCTTGCTTCTGGGGTCTAATTGCGTCTGATGACAGGAATGTGACCCAGAGCTGTCTCCTCCCTGTTGTGATTTATAAGACTGATGTGAAAAGTAACATTCGTATTTGGTCCCAGCCGAACAATCAATAGTATCTAATAGTAGAATAAAAATATTTTCAGATATGCAATAAATCAAAATTTATGTATTCTGTCTTAGAAAACTATTGTTCTAGCCAAACAAAGGAATAAACAATAAAGCAGAAAAGGCATTGGGGTTCAAAACAAAGGACATTGGCAAAGGGCTGTCTTACATGAGACAGGGATGCTGCACACTAAAGAGAAGTGAGTTTGGAAAGGAATAGTCAACAGTGTGAGTGATTAATAGCAATAGATGCAACACATTGGAATTATGAAAGAGAAGGGTAGTACAATTACAGCCCAGCAGACAGCCTCTGAATGCAAGAATGTTTAGAAAAGAAAGGTATGTAACGTATTTAAATACCAATGTAATTTACATCATAATATATTTAGAAACCAAAATGGAATATCTATCTCAGTTTCGTCACTGGTATGGCCCTAGAAAAGCTTTTATTTTATTTTTAAACTTTTAAGCATTGATTACAAATCTTTGTACTCAATGCTTAAAAGTTTAAAAATATTTTATTTGCTGTGTTAGTAGTGTGCTTTAAAGTTTACAGTAAAAGTTGATGTTTACCAAATTGACAAACAATAAGTTGGCCACTAACTAAAGTATAATAATAGGGAAAGTTGTTCTCTGCTTATGAAAATTCTGCGTTGGGAATGAAAATCCTACAGATTAAAGAAACCTGCACACCAGCAGGATGAGAGACTGTGGGAGACGAGCAGTGGGACTGAGATTATTCATATGTGGTTGAGCATATGAAGAAATTACTGAAAAGGTTTGACTGATTGGTGGAACACTTGGGGGCAAATTTGCTATATATAAAAGAAAGCCGAAGAAGGTGAGGTGGAAGAAATATTAACATAAGGAAAAACAGAGTTATGTGAGAAGAGGAATGGATTAATTGTTCACTACTTGGCTTAGTTATGAATACTATTTAATTGCACTAAAGCAAACACTTGGATAGAGGAGGTGAAGTGCAGTGACTGAAGTAAGGGATGTAATTCCATAAATTAAGAAGGCAATAGATGATGTCTAAAATTGCTAGGTCAAAAACAGTAGTATACACCTATTATAGCTAAACATGGAGGTAAATGCCAGGAGAAAGAGCAAGCTGACTTGTGATTGATTGCTTCTAGGAAGTTGGGAGGAATGGGAAGGTGCCTGTTGATTTGTATAATGTCTCTCCTAGAATTATTTGACTTTACAACTAAGTGCCAGTTCATTAATTTCATAAAGAGCAAATCTGACTAAATCACACTAAAAAGAATATACACACATTGCAGAAAATGCAAAAATACAGGAGAATATAACTAACATCAAAATTACCCATTGCCCAGAAGTATTCGATATTCAGTATTTCTTTCCAGTCTATTTGTGAATTATACTTATATGTAACTTTATTTCTAATTTACACTTAACATTAATCTTCATTTACATTCAATCACAGATATGACAGAATCTAACTGGTTCTCTATTGTTGGCCATTTAAAGATTATCTCTGTAGCATATGAAGTGCTTCACTAGTCATCTTTCTGCAAAACGTTTCTTATCAGTACATGTGAGTTTTACTTTCAGTGAAATTCTTTGAAATGAATTTTTTTATTCTGAATGTATAAATATTTTCTTGGCATTTTCTTTTTTCTATCCTTCCTCCTTCCCTCTCTTCCTTCCTTCCTTTTTAAAATATAATTCTAAATTACACTCTGAAAATATTTACATAATCAGTTGTAGAGTACAGGAAGGAATACCTATTTTACCAGTGCTGGAAATTAATAGTTTCTGTACTTATGAATTTCATGTTTTAAAAAGAGAGCTTTAACTTGCTTTCTGCTTTCTAAAAAAAACAAAAACAAAAACAAAAAACCTTGTACCATGGTGATTAAGAGATTAAGAGGAACCCTAGATCTACAGCGTTCCTCAGCAACCACAGACCTGGTTGCTAATCCTTGCGTTGCTGTTTGTAGCTGGGTATCCTCAGAGGCAAGATACCGACACAGCGAAGACTCCATTTATTTGCTTGTAAAATGCAAATATTCGCTGCACTGACCCCATCCGGTTGTACAGATTAAATGAAATTACGCATCAAAAGCCCCAGTTTAGTTTTTGTATGTGTACCTGTTTGTTCACTGAGGAAAAGTATCCACTCTCTTAATAAAGTGAAAATGCAATACATAGTAAGCCCATATTGATGTAAAATTGTTTTTAAATCCATTGTTTCAGGCTCACTGTCATGGACGCTCTATCAGAAGCAAATGGCACCTTTGCATTAAACCTTTTGAAAAAGCTAGGGGAAAACAACTCAAACAACATATTTTTTTCACCCATGAGCATGTCGTCAGCCTTGGCCATGGTTTTCATGGGAGCGAAGGGAAATACTGCAGCCCAGATGTCTCAGGTACCTAAAGCCACTTCAAGACAACAGTAAATGCTACTAATTTATCAGTAATGCTGGTCTTTCATGTTTCAAATCTCAAAGAGATTCCTCTTTTAACAGTTAACTCTGCTAGTGTCACAGGGATGTGGATGGAGAGTTGGCAGGATGGAGCATGTTACCACTGCCTGACCATCCTTGGTGACCTGGGGTCACTCCTGTATGTGCTTCCACAGGCAGCTGGGCTAGAAGGTCCAAGAAGGTCTCACATATCTGGGCCTTGGTGCTGCTTGGTGGCTGGGGTCGGGAGTACCCTACAAGCAAGTCTTTTCATTCCTCCAGAGCCCTTCCACATGGCCTTTCCTTAGGGAAGCTTGTGCATCCTTACATCATGGTAGCTGCGTTGTAAGAGAGCCAAAGTGGAAGCTGCCAGGCTTTTTAAGGTCTAGGCTTAGAACAGAGCTACATCTGCATTCTCTTGTTAAAAGTAAGTCATGGGGCCATCCCAGATCCTAACAAAGGGGAGGGAGACTCCATCTTTTGGTGTCAGGAGCACCATGTGTATGCAGAGACAGAACACATGTTTGGCAGCTGTGTTTTTAGACAAAGTACCACAAACAGTGAACGTTTAAGTAACCTGAATCATTTTGTTAGAGTTTGCAAAAGGCATATCTAGTCATACCAATATTTAGATAATATTGATTTTACATAGGAAGTGATTATAGGGAAGCTTAAGAAGAGCTATAGGTAGGGAGAATGGGTGGATGTCAACCCACTTTCTATCTTTAATTAGTGTAATAGTGCATTCTCATACTGCTATAAAGCGATACCTGAGATTGGGTAATTTATAAAGGAAAGAGTTTTAATTAACTCACAGTTCCACATTGCTGGGGAGGCCTCAGGAAACCTACAATCATGGCAGAAGGCAAAGGAGAAGGAGGCACCTTCTTCACAGGGTAGCAGGATGGAGTGAGTGCAAGCTGGGGAAATGCCCGACACTTATAAAACCATCAGCTCTTGAGAGACTCACTCACTATCATGAGAACAGCATGGAGGAAACTGCCCCCATGACCAATTACCTCCACCTGGTCTCACCCTTAACATGTGAGGATTATGGGGATTATAATTCAAGATGAGATTTTGGGGGGAGACATAGCCAAATCATATAAATTAGATTAATCATCTTTTATGCTCTAGTAAGGATCTATAAATCTCTTAATGTTGAATTTAGCATTGTGCCTATTTTTGAAGTCAGGGAATACTGAAAATTTTATTTGTTTTTAAAAATTTCAGGCACTCTCTTTTAGTAAAATTGGAGGTGAAGATGGAGCTATTCACCAAGGTTTTCAGTCACTTCTTGCTGAAATTAACAGAGCTGGTACTCAGTACTTGCTTAAAACTGCTAACAGGCTCTTCGGAGAAAAGTCTTATGACTTCCACACAGTAAGTTGTACTTTATGTTTTATCAAGAAAATAAAGATAGCAATGTGATGGACACTAGTAGAAAGAATGTGGGCTCTGAATTCCTACAGGTGGGCCTGAATTCACAACTTCATTCCTTAACTTCACACGGCTCCTCTGATTGTTTTATTGTCTATAAAATAAGTCTTATAGCAAATACTGACAAGACATTCATGAAGCTTAAATGACTTAATCTTTATAAAAGAACTGACACAGAGCATAGCACAATTGGAGATGAATCAGCCGAAACAAAGAAATGATCAAAATGAGTATTTCTAGTAATTGCTTTGCAGATGTTGTTAATTTTTTGTGCATCATGACACTTTCCTAGCTTTTTATGTATTTAAATATTTTGATTGGATTTTTAGACACCGCAAATCTTTTAAAACATATTTTAGCTAACTACCTTGGCTCTATTTGTTGACAAGCCTTTAATGACTTTTTTATCTTTTAAAAACAAAGGTACTCGGCTGGGCGCGGTGGCTCACGCCTGTAATCCCAGCACTTTGGGAGGCCAAGGCGGGTGGATCATGAAGTCAGGAGTTCAAGATCAGCCTGGCCAAGATGGTGAAACCCCGTCTCTACTAAAAATACAAAAATTAACCAAGCGTGGTGGTGGGCATCTGTAATCCCAGCTATTTGGGAGGCTGAGGCAAAAGAATCCCTTGAACCCTGGGGGTGGAGGTTGCAGTGAGCTGAGATGGCGCCACTGCACTCCAGCCTGGGTGACAGAGCAAGACTCCATTTCAAACAAACAAACAAACAAAAACAAAGGTACTCAAGTAATTTCTTACACAAAACTGCAAGTAACACATATAAATCAAGAACCCTCATTAACCTCTAATTCCAATACTCCTCTTCTCAATGTCTGAGCTTTTATAAATTTGAAGTCTATCCTGCTTCACATACAGAAATTTTGCTTTGTGAGGTTCCTCCCTACATTGTTATTATACTATACATATTGTTTTATACTTTGTTTCTTTTTACTTAACAATACGTCTTAAATTCTTTCCATCTCAGCATATGTGTATCTATGTCACTCTTTTTACCCATTTTCTAGTATTCCTAAGTAGGACTGTACTGTAATGGAGTAAACCTTTCCCTTATTGCTGAGCATTTAGGTTGTATTTAATCTGGACCATTACAGACTCTAATATCCCTGTACAAGATTTTGTGCTCATGTGCATTCGTTACTGTCTAAAATGGATGTGCAGAAGGGAGAAAGGGAATGAAACTTTGAAGCTTTAATAAATATTGCCAAATTGCTGTTACTGGTATTATAGCCACTTACATTCCCCAAAGCATATGTGTAAAGTGCTCATTTCCACCTACTATCAACAGCACTGCATATTATAACCCTATAAACCTTTGGAAGGGTGGGGCCAACCAAGAAACTGGACTAGAAGCAGCTCCTGTGTACCACTGTACACATGAGAAGAAATAGAAGGGGTAATGGACACTGACACTGCACACCGATCAAACATCTGAGAAATTACACTGGGTTCCATCAAGGCGGGAGGGGAGCACAGAGATCAGAGAGGAAGGAATCCAGGAACCAGCCTGTCTGAGCTCAGCGTGGAGCCAGGAGATTCTGTTCAACACAGGAAAGGGTGAATGAGTGAGAGCTCCCAGGGGAATTCACGCTGTCCACCAGGACCTGTGCATGATTGAGAACAGGAGGATCCCCCTGACCCCTAACACCCCACCACTGCACTTCTAGACTGAGGCAGAGAGCCACCTGGACGTATTGTGGGGGCAACTCTCGAATTCAAGAAGGCCGCTACAAGCCTTGGGCCCTGAAGCAGACCATCACCGGTGTCACATCCCCATTAGAAGCCACAGTTGCAGTGCCTGGGAGCAGTAAGTTTGCCCCGCCCCTTCTTACCAGACAGGGCTTGGTGCCAGCTTCTGCCCAGTGGTCCTGCTTTTGTGTGAACTGACCTGGAGAGTGCAGCCTCACGTTTTCCCAGGAAACACTCAGATGACAGGGTGCATGACCCCACCCACTCCCACCACTCATAGCCAGGAAGGCAATGCTTGGTAGAGCTTCTGGCCTAGCGGTCCCACTTCCGTGTGAACTCAGCTGGAGGGTGCAGTTTTATCTTGTCCCCAGAAACACTTGGATGGCATGCTGTGTGACCCCAACTTCCCCCACCACAAGTAACCAGGTGGACAATGCCTGCTAGAGCTTCTGGCCCAACAGCCAGCCCAACTTCTGTGTGAACTCAGCTATTGGGCACAGGTTCCTATCATCCCAGGAAACACCCAGATGGCAGAGCATGCAACCCCACCCACCCCTGCAACTGGTAGCCAGGTGGGAAATGCTGGCTGTAGCTTCCAGCCCAGTGGTCACCCTTCTGTATGAACTCAGCTGGAGGTCACAGTCTTCTGTTGTTCCAGGAATAACCTGGAGAGCAGGGCATGTGACCTGCCTACCCTGGCCATTGGTAGTCAGACTGGCAACACCTGCTAGAGCTTCTGGCCCAGTGCTGCTGCTTCTGTATGAACTCAGCCAGTGGATGCAGCTTTTCTGTTGCCCCTGGAAGCACATGGTGGGCACAGTGTGTGACTCCACTCGCCCCTACCACTGGTAGCCAGGCAGGTAATACCTACTAAAGCTTCCAGTCCAGTGGTCTTGCTTCTGTGAGAACTCATCTTGCAGTGGCAGCTTTCTGTTGTCCCAGGAAGCACCCAGAAGGCAGAGCAGTCATTTCCACCCACCTCTGGTTGGTAGCCAGGCAAACCACACTTGCTATAGCTTCCAGCCCAACAGTCCTGCTTCTTCCTAAGTTTGTCGAGAGGCACAGACCCCTGTCACGCTGGAAACCCTGAATGGCAGGGGGGGCAAGTCCATCCACTCCTGCCTGTCATAGGCAGATGGGCCACACTCACTAGGTCTTCTAGCCCAGTGGTTCCACTTCCACTTGAACTCTGCTGGAAGGTGTAACTCTATGTTTCCCCAGGAAGCACACGGGCAGCAGATTAGGACTGACCTGGCAAGGATACAGCTTGTCTGCCAGCTGTGGGCCTTGACTGAAGGAGCCCTATGGACCAGAACACCCAACAAAAGAAACACAGGCATGGAGAAAGTAATCAGAAGGAGCACCCCCAAGACCCAGGAGTAGACTAGAATCAGAGTCCATCAACCAAAACCATCTTGTGCTGTAATCAAACCTCCAAGTTCATCAAAGAAGACAATAGCAAAATAATCTATCCAAAGCACAGCAACCTCAAAGACCAAAGGAACATGAGCCCACACAAATGAGAAAGACCCAGCAGAAGAACTCTGGTAACTCAAAAAGCGTGTCTTCTTATCTCTAAACAGTCACACTAGTTCCTCAACAATGATTCTTAGCCAAGTGGAAACAGCTGAAACATCAGAAACATAATTCAGAATATGGATAGGAACAAAGATCATCAACATACAGGAGACAGTCAAAACCCAATCCAAGAAACCTAATGATTACGATAAAACAATACAAGAGCTCATAGACAAAGTGGCCATTATAAGAAAGAAACAAATTGAATTGATAGAGCTGAAAAACACTCTACAATAATTTCACAGTGAAATTGCAATATTACCAGCAGAATTGACCACGTGAGAAAACAGTCTCAGAGCTTGAAGACTGGCTTTCCAAAATAACTCATTCATATAAAAATAAAGAAAATAAATAAAGAAGAATCAACAAAACCTTCAAGAAATATAAGATTATGTAAAGAAACCAAATTTATGACTCATTGATGTCTCTGAAAGAGAGAGAGAGAAACCAAGCAACTTGGCAAACATATTTCAGGATATCATTCATGAAAATGTCCCCAAACGCTGGAGAGGACAGCATTCAAATTTAGAAAAATGCAGAGAACCCCTGCGAAATACTACACAGGAAGACCATCCTCAAGACGCATAATCGTAAGATTCTCCAAAGTCTAAATGAAGAAGAAAAAAACAGAAGGGGCAGGTCAACTACAAAGGGAATCTTTTTTTTTTTTTTTTTTTTTGAGACGGAGTCTCGCTCTGCCGCCCAGGCTGGAGTGCAGTGGCCGGATCTCAGCTCACTGCAAGCTCCGCCTCCCGGGTTTACTTATACCATTCTCCTGCCTCAGCCTCCGGAGTAGCTGGGACTACAGGCGCCCGCCACCTCGCCCGGCTAGTTTTTTGTATTTTTTAGTAGAGACGGGGTTTCACCGTGTCAGCCAGGATGGTCTCGATCTCCTGACCTCGTGATCCGCCCGTCTCGGCCTCCCAAAGTGCTGGGATTACAGGCTTGAGCCACCGCGCCCGGCCTACAAAGGGAATCTTATCAGGCTAACAGCAAACCTGTTAGCAGAAACATTGCAAGCCAGAAGAGACGGGGGCGGGGGGCAACATTTAGCTTTCTTAAAGAAAATAATTTTGAATAATTTTGAACCAATAATTTCATATCCAGCCAAGCTAAACTTCATAAGCAAAGGGGAAATAAGATCCTTTTCAGACAAGCAAGTGCTAAAGGAATTCATTACCACCAGACCTACCTTGCAAGAGGTCCTGAAGGGAGTACTAAATACAGAAAGGAAAGATCATTACCAGCTACTGCAAAAATACATGTAAATACATAGATCAGTGACACCATAAAGCAGCCACACAACGAAGTCTACATAATAACTAGCTAACAATATGATGACAGGATCAAATCTACTACTAACCTCAAATGTAGATGGTCTAAGTGCCCCAATTAAAAGGCACAGAGTGGTACATTGAATAAAGATGCCCAGCCCAACCGTATGCTATCTTCAAGAGACAAGTCTCACATGCAAAGACACACATAGGCTAAAAGTAAAGGGATAGAGAAAAAAAATCTATGAAGCAAATGGAATACATAAAAAGGGAGGGATTTCTGTTCTATTTTCAGACAAAACAATCTTTAAACCAACAAAGATCAAAAAAGGCAAAGAAGTGTATTGCACATTGGTAAAAGACTCAATTCAATAAGAGGACCTAGGAA